TTTGAAAAACCCCACTTTTTGGACAAAATTGTAAGGTCCGGGGTGGTTAAGCATTTTTTGAGATAAAAAGTGAAAATATTTCAATAGACTAGTTTCTTCACTATTGATGTTCCCATATGTCATGAGATGGAGTATGACCCCCTTCGAGCTTCTGTAAGGGCATCGGGGCAAATCTTGTAAATATTTGAAAATCCCCACTTTTTGGACAAAATTGTAAGGTCCGGGGTGGTTAAGCATTTTTTGAGATAAAAAGTGAAAATAATTCAATAGACTAGTTTCTTCACAATGGATGTTCCCTTATGTCATGAGATGGAGTATGACCCCCGTTGCACTTCTGTAGGGGCATCGGGGCAAATCTTGTAAATATTTGAAAAACCCCACTTTTTGGACAAAATTGTAAGGTTCGGAGTGGTTAAGCATTTTTTGAGATAAAAAGTGAGAATATTTCAATAGACTAGTTTCTTCACAATTGATGTTCCCATATGTCATGAGATGGAGTATGACCCCCTGTGAGCTTCTGTAGGGGTATCGGGGCAAATCTTGTAAATATTTGAAAAACCCCACTTTTGGACAAAATTGTAAGGGGCGGAGTGGTTAAGCATTTTTTGAGATAAAAAATGAAAATATTTCAATAGACTAGTTTCTTCACAATTGATGTTCCCATATGTCATGAGATGGAGTATGACCCCCTGTGAGCTTCTGTAGGGGCATCGGGGCAAATCTTGTAAATATTTGAATAACCCCACTTTTTAGACAAAATTGTAAGGTCCGGGGTGGTTAAGCATTTTTTGAGATAAAAAGTGAAAATATTTCAATAGACTAGTTTCTTCACAATTGATGTTCCCATATGTCATGAGATGGAGTATGACCCCCTTCGAGCTTCTGTAGGGGCTTTGGGGCAAATCTTGTAAATATTTGAAAAACCCCACTTTTTGGACAAAATGCCAAGGGATTAGTTCAGCATTTTTTGGAGGAAAAAGTGAATTTATCAAATGAAAAAATTTGTGTACAGTAGCCTAATTTTCTCACAATAAATGTCCCTAAATGCAATAAGATGGAATATGACCCCCGTTTCGCTTCTACAGGGGCATCGGGGTAAATCTTGTAAATATTTGAAAAACCCCACCTTTTGGACAAAATTGTAAGGTCCGGAGTGGTTAAGCATTTTTTGAGATAAAAAATGAAAATATTTCAATAGACTAGTTTCTTCACAATTGATGTTCCCATATGTCATGAGATGGAGTATGACCCCCTGTGAGCTTCTGTAGGGGCATCGGGGCAAATCTTGTAAATATTTGAATAACCCCACTTTTTAGACAAAATTGTAAGGTCCGGGGTGGTTAAGCATTTTTTGAGATAAAAAGTGAAAATATTTCAATAGACTAGTTTCTTCACAATTGATGTTCCCATATGTCATGAGATGGAGTATGACCCCCTTCGAGCTTCTGTAGGGGCTTTGGGGCAAATCTTGTAAATATTTGAAAAACCCCACTTTTTGGACAAAATGCCAAGGGATTAGTTCAGCATTTTTTGGAGGAAAAAGTGAATTTATCAAATGAAAAAATTTGTGTACAGTAGCCTAATTTTCTCACAATAAATGTCCCTAAATGCAATAAGATGGAATATGACCCCCGTTTCGCTTTTACAGGGGCATCGGGGTAAATCTTGTAAATATTTGAAAAACCCCACTTTTTGGACAAAATTGTAAGGTCCGGAGTGGTTAAGCATTTTTTGAGATAAAAAGTGAAAATATTTCAATAGACTAGTTTCTTCACAATTGATGTTCCCATATGTCATGAGATGGAGTATGACCCCCTGTGAGCTTCTGTAGGGGCATCGGGGCAAATCTTGTAAATATTTGAAAATCCCCACTTTTTGGACAAAATTGTAAGGTCCGGGGTGGTTAAGCATTTTTTGAGATAAAAAGTGAAAATATTTCAATAGACTAGTTTCTTCACAATGGATGTTCCCTTATGTCATGAGATGGAGTATGACCCCCGTTGCACTTCTGTAGGGGCATAGGAACAAATCTTGTAAATATTTGAAAAACCCCACTTTTTGGACAAAATTGTAAGGTCCGGGGTGGTTAAGCATTTTTTGAGATAAAAAGTGAAAATATTTCAATAGACTAGTTTCTTCACAATGGATGTTCCCTTATGTCATGAGATGGAGTATGACCCCCGTTGCACTTCTGTAGGGGCATCGGGGCAAATCTTGTAAATATTTGAAAAACCCCACTTTTTGGACAAAATTGTAAGGTCCGGAGTGGTTAAGCATTTTTTGAGATAAAAAGTGAAAATATTTCAATAGACTAGTTTCTTCACAATTGATGTTCCCATATGTCATGAGATGGAGTATGACCCCCTGTGAGCTTCTGTAGGGGTATCGGGGCAAATCTTGTAAATATTTGAAAAACCCCACTTTTTGGACAAAATTGTAAGGGGCGGAGTGGTTAAGCATTTTTTGAGATAAAAAATGAAAATATTTCAATAGACTAGTTTCTTCACAATTGATGTTCCCATATGTCATGAGATGGAGTATGACCCCCTGTGAGCTTCTGTAGGGACATCGGGGCAAATCTTGTAAATATTTGAATAACCCCACTTTTTAGACAAAATTGTAAGGTCCGGGGTGGTTAAGCATTTTTTGAGATAAAAAGTGAAAATATTTCAATAGACTAGTTTCTTCACAATTGATGTTCCCATATGTCATGAGATGGAGTATGACCCCCTGTGAGCTTCTGTAGGGGTATCGGGGCAAATCTTGTAAATATTTGAAAAACCCCACTTTTTGGACAAAATTGTAAGGGGCGGAGTGGTTAAGCATTTTTTGAGATAAAAAATGAAAATATTTCAATAGACTAGTTTCTTCACAATTGATGTTCCCATATGTCATGAGATGGAGTATGACCCCCTGTGAGCTTCTGTAGGGACATCGGGGCAAATCTTGTAAATATTTGAATAACCCCACTTTTTAGACAAAATTGTAAGGTCCGGGGTGGTTAAGCATTTTTTGAGATAAAAAGTGAAAATATTTCAATAGACTAGTTTCTTCACAATTGATGTTCCCATATGTCATGAGATGGAGTATGACCCCCTTCGAGCTTCTGTAGGGGCATCGGGGCAAATCTTGTAAATATTTGAAAAACCCCACTTTTTGGACAAAATGGCAAGGGATTAGTTCAGCATTTTTTGGAGGAAAAAGTGAATTTATCAAATGAAAAAATTTGTGTACAGTAGCCTAATTTTCTCACAATAAATGTCCCTAAATGCAATGAGATGGAATATGACCCCCGTTTCGCTTCTACGGGGGCATCGGGACGAATCTTGTAACTATTTGAAAAACCTCTCTTTTGGGACAAAATTGTAAGGTCTGGAGTGGTTAATCATTTTTTGAGATAAAAAGTGAAAATAATTCAATAGACTAGTTTCTTCACAATTAATGTTCCAAATATTATGAGATGGAGAATGACCCCCGTTGCACTTCTGTTCGGGCATTGGGGCAAATCTTGTAAATATTTGAAAAACCCCACTTTTTGGACGAAATTTTAAGGTCTAGAGTGGTTAAGCATTTTTTGAGATAAAAAGTGAAAATAATTCAATAGACTAGTTTCTTCACAAATAATGTCCCTATATGTCATGAGATCGAGTATGACCCCGATTACTTCAGCATTTTTTTTGATGAAAAAGTGAATTTACCAAATGAAAAAATTTGTATAAGGTAGCCTTATTTCCTCACAATATATCTCCCTAAATGCGATAAAATGGAATATGACATGGAGATAGAGTATGACTATCGTTACGCTTCTACAAGGGCATAGGGACAAATCTTTTAAATATAAAAAAAAAAAACTTTTTGCCAAAATAGCAAGGGATTAGTTCAGCATTTTTTTGTGATTAAAAGTGAAAATATTTGAATAGCCTAATTTCCTCACAATTACTGTCCCTATATGTCATGAGATGGAGTATGACCCTCGTTACGCTTCTACAAGGGCATAGGGGCAAATCTTGTAAATATTCAGAAAAACCCCACTGTTTTGCCCAAATGGCAAGGGCCACACTGGTTAAGCATTTTTTTGGATAAAAAGTGAAAATCAATAGCCTAATTTCCTAGCAATTAATGTCCACATTTTGTCATGAGATGGAGTATGATCCCTGTTTGGCTTTTATAGGGGCGTAGGGGCATAGGGGCGATTCGTGTAAAAATTCAAATAAAACTCACTTTTTGGACAAAATGGCAAGGGCCGGAGGGGTTAAAGATAAAGACCAGTTATTGTCATGCGTTGCATTGTGAAAGAAACGTTGTGGAATTGATCAGAATAGGTTGATCATCTAGCATATAAGTATTGGTGTGTACTGCAAGGTTCTGGAATCATCAAAATGATAAGAAATTTGGTCTAGTCTTGGTAAAGATACAAGCATTGTACACAGAAAGATGTATATCAGGTCCAAATTGATATAATAATTTATCAAATATATCAATTAGTAGGAGGTTTCTCAGCGAAATTTGTATGATTACGTATTAGTCAAAACATATTCTTTCACATGATTGCTAATAAGAGCTTCCATTTCATTTTTTGAGAGGGGGCGTTTCCTTTAAGCATTTTTTGTGAAAAAAAGTGAAAATCATTTGAATAGGCTATTCATGGATTTTGACCCCTGTTTCGCTTTCGAAGGGCTTTAAGGACAAATTTAAAAAATACTTCTTTCAAAATGGCAAGAGATTAGTTCATCCATTCTTTGGTTGAAAGAAGAATTTATTTGAATACATGCCATGAGATGGATCCTGACCCCCATTTGCTATTGAAGGGGATTCAGGGGAAAAAAAATCTCTTTAAATGTTATTTCTTTTTCTTGGGCTGGGGAACTGGGGGGATGGGGGGTTCACGATACCCATTCCAAGTTTTGCATTATTGGTGTAAAGGTGAAATGGTACTTGTGAAAACTAGAAAGCATTTGATTCATTTCATTGATAGTAAATAGTGCTTGACTGTCGTTTATCCATATTACCATGTTACCAGGCCAAGATGAGAAAGCTTTCTGCCTCAGCCAAAAAGAAATCCTCCGTCACCACACGTCAGATGACCCCAAGGAAAAGAACCATGCCTGATAGGACAGCTAAGACACCTCAGAAGGGCGTGGGTTCAACGCCCAAGAGGGGCGCCAGCACTCCCAGGTTGCGAAAGAAAAGGGCCCTGACATCAACTTCAGGGGGACTTACTCCGAAAAGGTAAGTAAATCTTGAAATTTAACCAAGTGATAAATATTTTATGATATCTCAGGGCCAAAGCTTATAAAGAGTTGCAATTGATTCAAATCAATCTCAACTCCTTTCTCTAAAGTACACAATTACGGTTAAATTTAAGTTTAAATTTGAATCAATCGCAACTCTTTATGCTACAGGGCACTGAACTTCCACTTATCTTATCAGAATTATATCGACCCTGTTCGTTAAGGCAAATTTGGGGAAGGAAATAAAAATAATCAAAAATGGCCACAATAAAAATTGTCAATGTTCTTTGTTTCCTCATCATGACAGTCTCAAACTGCCCTCAAATTATATTGATCCCTGTTTGTTCCCAAAAGGGGCATAAAGGCAAATTTGTGAAGAAAATATTAAAATCAAAAATCACCATTTTAGGGCTAAAATGGCAAAATCTTCTTTGTTTCCTCATCATGAAAGTCCAAAATTGCTTTTAGAATTATATTTTTGTTTGAAATGAATTAGAGTGAATCATAAATCATATGAAGTACTTTGGTCATGGAGGTTTAAATCATGATTTAAGATCTTCCTCAAATTCAGGCCTTTTGTTTGTAATCTTGTTGTAACCTTCAGTATTTTTCTGTCTTAATTTTTCCAAGACCTAAGCGGTCCACTCCTGTAAAATCGACCAAGCCGGAGGAGATGACCTCTCCTCGTAGGTCAGCCAGGAAGCTTGCCAAGGATCATCATCCTACCACCACTTTCACTTCTCCATCTACCTCGTCCTCCCATCAACCATCTTCCTCATCATCAGCAGCAGCAGCATCATCAACGCCGTCCAAGAAAACTCAGAAGCCAACTAGAGACTCAGTCAAGAGCGCAGAGTCCCAGAGAGCAAGGACTGCCTCAGAGTCCAGATCAGAGAAGCATAAAAGGGTGAGAACTTGTGAAGAGATCAATTTTTCCTCCAAATGCTATTGTGGTTATTGTCACAAGGGTCAAAATATAGCTGTTTGTAGTGTACTAGCAGTACAGAATGCTCAAGTACAGAATTTTTTATGTAAGGGAATCAGACTCTAATTGTCACTACATTATGCGTGAACATCAGGGTTGGATTTTCAAAATATTTAGATTATTTGAATAGTTTGGAGGGCTTTTAACATAGCTAAAATGGTATCCATCTCTGGCCTAATAAATACCTATATATGTAGATGCTCTATGAGAACATGTTATCATGGATAGTTCATGCTACGATGGTCAGAGGACTCCTGAGATTTAGGAGCTGTGCGTGTGTCGTTTTCTTTCTCCCATCTTGATGTTGTTGTAATTGTTTGCCTTATTATTTTACACCCTTTCACAGAAATTGCGTTCCATTGTGGAGGAGACACTAGCAGCCAAGGGGATTGATTCCAGTCATGTTTGCTTCAAGCCTTGCGTTACGAGACTCTACAACCAAACTAAGATGTTTGTGAAGGTAAGCTATACAAGATAAAACACTAGGGGGTGGGGGGGGGTGCTGATGCTATGAATATGCAACTATTTAAGATGAGTAAAATGATGTTTCTTTATTGACTGTATAACTTTTTTTAGCACTTAATAGAGTCATACAGAAACTTTCGTTGGTGAGGGTTAATTGTATATATATATATCTATATAATATATAATCCCCCTAATATGTAGGTGTATTTATTGCATGTGTTTAAAGCTTTTAGCAACCTTAAAAGGGTAGGTGAGCATTTGTTTGCTTCTGTGGACCTTTTTAGGCCAAAGGATTTCTACCTGCAGTCTAGAGATCACCAGGGTGGAGATACAAAAAGGGATCAAGTACACAGAAGTGGATGAAAGCTCACATACTTATATCTATTTTGGTAGAAACTATATGTGAATATTGAGTCTGATTCGACCACTGACTCTTCTCTTACAATGTACATACACATGTATGTAGATGTAGTTGTGTCCCCTACAATTCCATTCCAATGCCTTTATAGACTTTTAGGAATTCAGGATATTATGGCTTTGTAGTTTATCACATTTTACAGTAGCTTTATTTGATGAGGTAAGATAGCAGAACAGGAGAGCATGATTTATTTTAAAGATAGAACTCAGAGCCTGTGAGTAGTGTTTCGGTCTTGATATTCCTATAAATAGGGCTCTCTCACAACAAGCATAGCAAATGATCATTTGATTGATGGATTGATTGTATGATCGAATGAATGATCAATTGATTGTACGGAGCGATCAGTCGCGAAATAGTATAGTATTAATGACTGCTTTGAGAGAAATAGTTGTTTTTATACGCTCAAGGGAAGGTTACAATTGTGCTATTGCCCCGAGGTGTGCCGAGGGCAATAGCCCAATTGTAACCCTCCCGAGAGCGTATAAAAACAACTATTTCTCGAATATTAAAGCAGTCATTAATACTTTTATATGCCGAAAACAAAAGAGTCAACTAATGACACCACCTTGGCCTTTCTCTAGTTTATCTGCACGGTTGTTTTTTACGAGTGTATCTTTGAGAGTAGACTAGATCTGATCTAGATTCTAGTCTAAGCAAGATATTTTTACAATTTTGGGGGTGGGCCGGCCCTGTGGGGGAATAGAGAGAAGAACCTGCGCTTTCATATGACACCTCACTTATTGAGTTTCACCTTCAGGATCACAACAGATAAAGGTTTGAATCTCAAATTGAAAAAAAAAACTTGACTTTTTTTGCACGGTCGCGCAATGCACATAGACTGCATAGTGACTGCATTGCGTGTAATCTCTATGGGAAGAATATAGCACACAACATCGGGTGTGCGATCAGACACCCTGACAACTAGATCTATTTTCGTCTACGTCTATGCTGGTACTCCATTTTCAGCAAATAAACGAACATGTTTATGGATAATTTCACATACCTTTTTTGTTGTTCTTGCTGTCAGCAAGTCTTGCATTTGATAAGTTGAAATCTTGGGACAGTTTCTTTAGCCATTTTTGTCTTGTTTGGAATTGTCTTGTCTTGTATGGAAATACCGACCAATTCTTCGCACACATACGGTATCCTCGATCGCTCAAACCATTTTTTAACATGTAAACCTATGGGGTAACCATGGAGACCGAACTATTTTCCCGGTAACCATGGTTACTGGGATTTTAGAACTGTTTTTGGTTACTGGGAATTTTACAGAAATAGTTAAAGTTTATGAATGCAATTTCGACCAATCAGATGGTTGGATTTCTTAAGTGAGGTATATAACAATAACTAATTTATATTTGTATTATGAGCCCAAATACCCTATGGTAAAAAATCCTTAACACGTATTGGAGGTGTCCTAGATGTTCGTGTTTATATCATCTGCTTGCTACTGCTTTCTGTAGCAATTCATCAATTAATGTCAAACAATTCACCATTTTCTTTTCCCAGGATCTGAAGTCCTCTAAGGGCCTCTATGATGAAATGAGGAAGATTGCCGAGGCCAACGCTGACTTTGTCATCTCCTTCGAGCAGAATAGAGCAGCATCTAAGTCTTAATTGATGTCTTACTCCGAGATCAAGTAAAGCATACTGGGATTCACTTCTGTGTAATGCAGAGGGTAAAGAAGCAACAAGAAATAGGTTACTTCATGCGATGTTTGAATCTTTCAGGCTATCTGTAAACCTTTTGTGCAGAGTGTACATGCAGTGGGATAGCTACATGGTGGCCTACAGATGTCCTCCCCCCCCCCCCATTGAATAATAATAACAGCCATCCCAGGGGGTGCTCAAGCCATCTACAAAGTACTATTATGGTTTAAATAGTTCAAAAGTATAGAAAGAAGAAGTGGAGAGAAAAGGAGGAAGAGGGGAAGGGGAATGTAAAGAGAAGATGATAGGAACCCTTCATACACTGTTCCATTAATTGGTGGCCTTTTTTATTAGTATTTCATCCACCTTGTAAAACCAATGACCCCTCCCTCCCCCCCCCCCCCCCCCCCACCCCTCCAAGGCTCCTTTTTTGTCTGGACTCGCACCTCACGGTGTACATGTACTTCTCCTTGTCATCAAATCTAGGGTGATGCCCTGTATGTGACATTGGACATGCAGACATTTTCTAGAGTACTAAACGTACAAAGGGAGGATGAAGAGTTGTTTTGTAGTCATGTAATGCTACTTTGAAGAGCATTACCATTGGGTCTTAAATCAAACAATATTTGTTTTCTATGAAATTGAATATTTTCACGATCAATGAATTGAATAGACAAAAGGCCCATGTTTATAAGAAACACGTTTCACTGAATCATCCTTGTTCCATAAACAGTCAATTTTGTATAATCGTTCTGAGACATTTACTGCAGAATGGACTTCCCTTGTATTTATTTTTTCAGTTGGAGAACTATCCTTTCAAAACATTCAGTGGTTTACCTAAATGATAATGCACCCAACCTCTACTTCTGGCTAATCGGCCCCCAAAATGGTTCACTACAATTTGGAGTTGATGTAAAGAGCACAAGGCTTCCTAGAGAAATTATGCTTTCCTTTTGGGAGAGGTCCTCCCTCTCCCCCACCCCCTTTTCTGGGTACACCTCTGTATGGTAGGAACTGTAGATAAATTTACACAGAGCTTCTAACCTTTGATTGAACATAAATATATTCAAGAGTATTTCCCCTGTGATTGAACATATTGAGATACAGGGCCTTTAAGTTTGTTTTAGTAAACTTTTTGTAAACTGTCTTGATAAGTAACATTTTGAAAATGGCTGAATCCAGTTATGGTCTCATGGGCTTTCTGACATTTCTTCTGAGGGTTCAACGGGTCGGCATCGTTGGTCTCATCGGTTATCGGTCTACTGGGCTGGGTCGTTTGAAATAATTGCTTGGCTAAGGTTTGGATGAGAGATTTGGTACATGTTTCCTGAGAATGGCTATTCATTACATTTTGATTTACTTTGGAATAATGGAATAACAAGTGGAATATGGAATAACAAGTTATTATAGTTCGGCACTTTAATAACTAAAAATCATGTGGATGCCCGTAAAGAAGGAGCAAAATTGACCAGTCCTGTAAAGTGGATTTTTGTTATCTGTAATCTCTATAACAAAATAAAAGAAATTGTAAAGAGATCCTTGATATAGATTTGTGTTGAGAAAAATATTAATAAAAAGCATGAGTTTTAACAAAAGCTGCAATCACGTGTATTTCTTTCATGATGGGTGTCATGAATGTAAAGTAGACTTCACCTCATATGTAGTCAAGCTTACCGACGATTAAATTAATACAGATGATATTTTCTGTGCAATATTCTCCTCTATTATTGTATTATTTATCTCTTTCTCTTAAAGGTAATTCCAAACTGCTGTCAAGTTGGTTTGGATGAGAAAACCGATTAGTGAAAGTTTGAGGAAGATGGCTATTTGTAAATCTATCAATTTTTAAAGCAATTGGTTTTGTTCACGATTCTATAATATTGTGACGCATAACGCAAACCCCTTCTCAACAAATGAGTCACAATAGAAATTGCTTCCACCACATGGTTTATAAGGACATGACCCCTGGTTCAACTGAGGTTTCTTCGATTGATCCCAATCTAAATGGAAAACTATGTCACAAATAAATCGCCTTTCCTTGTGACGTAGCAATACAAGACTTCAAGAGAGTTACACTCCAGTCAATTAATTATGTATGAAAAATGGGGGGGGGGGAGGATCGCCGCTGATTGGCTAAGAGTAACACGTGCTTGGTACCATTCAATCATTTTTAACACCATGCGCCCATGTTACAAGTTAGGATCCATCTGTCTTAGTGTGCTCAAGAAATCCCAACAGAAATTTACCAAGATGTTCCTCATGGTGCACAAAGCTTCTTTTAGATTAAAAAAAGGAACAAGTCACGAAATACTGGTAAATATTCTGTACTTTGATACTCTGCCTAATAGATTATTACAATTAATGCACTTGTCATTTGTAAGACGCACCTCTTGACCCCCGGGAATGGTGCGTCATTGTACCGATGTGAGTCGTACATTTTGATACCATGACGCACCTTCCGTCACAGAAAATGACACACCATTACATTCCATCGACGCACATTTGAGTCAAACATACGACACACCATTTCATGAAAATGACTAGCCAATGACGCACATTTGAGAAACACTTCTGCTTGGAGAAAGTGACGGTCCCATTGACACACCAAATGACGCAACGTGGTAAAGTGACTTACTATGACGCACATATGGGTCAGTATTGTGACGGACATTTTGCGGCCATGACGGTACTGTGCGTCGCGATTTTGGGGAACATGACGCAACCATGACGCACCATTCCTGGGGGTCAAGAGGTGCGTCTTACAAATGACAAGTGCATAAATCTCTCTTCCATCACATGCTTGTCGCTACTCATTCGCACACTATATGCACGCGTATATCAGTACTTGCACGCTAACCACATACGGAAACTTAGGCATTTTCTCGCACATGCATATTGCATATTTTCGCTCTACACTACTCAGACATAGGGACCACCGAGCACTCACTTAGCCTTTTGTTGATAGTCTCGGATTTCCTATTTTCCTTACTACACCTACTCTCTGTCTCTCAAACTTATCCGAGCTGGAATCACTGGCTGTCTGCATCAATCAAACTGTTGGCTAAATAAATCAATCTAAATTCACCATTTTCTCTCTCTTTCACTTGACAATCGAAATTATCTCTCCATCGACATCTCCTTTATCAATCATTTCTACAATTATTGGTCAGGCAATGCTTCAATGAATTATTCAAGAATAATTTTTAATATTTTTTAACTTGAACGTTAATCTTGTTCAAAACAGTAACTAGTGGAATGAATTCCGCAACAATGATAATGATTTAAAAATTCTTGAAACGTGCACATCTCACAGGAAAATACAAACGGTTACCAAGGAAATCTAATAATATGAGAAATACCAATAGTGGGTACCTGCTTCCACAACATTAAATATGCGTAATTCTTGAGTTAAGAAAGCTTTAAAAGGTGACATAATGTGTCTCACTTTAAGAGAGGTTTTTCAGTCCCACACATACTTGGTGTGGTAAAAAGATCTATAGACCTTAACTTATCAATCAAAATCCATATAAAGATAAACATGTATATTTTATTTTCCAATCAATTGTTTAATCAAAATAAAAAGTAGAGGGGCGAGGTCGACACACCTCTACATTACCTCCCGCCTTTTCGCTGTCCTCAGCAAATAAAACTTATTTTATTTTAAACTTATTTATGCTCATACGTGTACATTTATAAGTTAATCAGTATATACAATAATAAATTAAATGTTGAGAAATATCGAAATTTGTAGGAAATATAAAACATTTATATTTAACCCTATGTTAACTGGGGGGGGGGGTCAATTTGACCCCCCCCCCTGTAGAAATTTCGCGACTACTCCAAAACCGCGGCAGATATAAAATTTTCCTTTCATGAATTTTTACTTTCGAGTCTTACGCATCTTTTAAAACAATTTTTTCGAAAATCGGACCTACGGTTACATGGTCACGTGACCTTTTGTCTTTGCATGTCAGCCCGAAAATCGCTCATTTTCGTGATTTGTGTACAAAACCTATGTAAAAGTCATTTTTCCTAAAAATAGATAAAACATTGGTTATTCAGTCTTGTTTAAAGTTCAGATGTTTGTTTAGGGGTCAAAATAGTTGAATTGTAGTTATAAATGAAATAAAACAACAAAAACAATAAAATACATAAGTTAAAAAAACAATGATATACATAAGAAATTATAAAAACAAGAGATAACATAAGGAATAACCTGGCTCTTCCAATTGTTTGTGTTGTATTATTATTCCAAATGGTCTAATAAATATATGTAGTGAAAAAGAATACTTAGATATGAATAATCTATGATTTATGGGCAGAAATGTGAATTGTATGACGTTATTTGCATAAATTACCATAAATATGCAAATGAGTGAATTTTTCAAAAATTTGAAATTACCATATTATTCTATACACTTCACTTGACATGCATGCAAATTTTCGTGGCGATCGGCGGTAAAACGGCCGAGATCTTAGGGGGGGGTCAAATTGACCCCCCCCCCCCCCAGTAAAAACCTGGTCTGAAATAGCCCAGTTAAAATAGGGTTAAAAAACTAATCCGAGAGCTCATCGTGGGGATAGTAGTTGGATATTTTCTTCTTGTGAAGCACGCTCTGCCCTGTAACATTAAGTCTCTGTCGTGATTGTCACACACTTTAGCTGGGTAATTCCTAATCGCGGACATTTGACATTACACATTAAATTAAACATAGGAGGCACCTCTTGTTCCTCCTCCTCACTACTCTCACTCTGACTTCTCTGGATTTGAGCTCGGCATTGTAGGCAGTACTTTCCATCAATTTAAGAAGTCGTCCAAGTTGGAAGACATCACTCATGATGGTGGTACCTGCATCGTCTAGGGCACATTCAGGAGCGATGTGGACATATACCTCCTGTTGGTTATAAAAAGAAACAATTCAAAGTTTACATGTTGTGTTTTCCAGCAGGAGGTGACACATATTAAGTAAATTCTAATTACAAGTCCCGACTTTTTAAGTTACTTGATTTACAAATTTTATCAGCAATACGATCAGAAAGAACGGTTAAAAAAAATCACCCAGATGCCTTTTCAATTACCTAGTACATGGCCAGTTGAAATGACAGAGTACACAGTCCTAACATAATTTACGTAAGCAATATTGAAAGTGCTGATCATCTTAAGCCAAACCATCAGAAGTTTGCAATCAAATGAAACACTAGGAATTTAGAACCACATACATACCTTTCTCCTGTAATTTTCTTTCTACTCTGTTACAAGAGTTGCATTAGCAATGTCGTTCTCTATTCTCTTTAGTGATGTAAATGAGATCCACTCTTGTAAGATGCATTTTGTGGAACATTTTGCCTTGGAATTGAGTTAATTCACTCCAAAATCTAAGTTTAATCCACTTACAAGTAGTGGTTTGAATTTTTTTGTTTGTTATTGTAATTGTATCTTTTTTTTCTTTGTAGTGTGGATTTTCACTACAATTCAATCCAATTCATTTATTTATTCAACCAAAAAAATAAATATACAATCAAAATAGGTTAAATTAAAAAATTAGCAGAACGCAATGATGATCCTGATTATGGTTTTTACTCCATTGCATTAAAATAGCAATACACTTAAGACAAATAACAAACCTTCCTGTTCAAGTCCTTCGTGTCGAGGGAGTCTGAAGATTTTCATGGCAATGGACTTGTCGGTTACTCTGTGCCGGAAGAGGTGGACGGTGGCAATGACCCCATTGCCCAGGATGACATCGCCACCTCCTGGATGGAATGGCTTAAGATCATCAATGTTCCACACGTAGGAGGTGACTGAGGCAGCTGCAGTGCTCAGGCTCACAGTGGCTATGCAGCCCCACCCACTGATGGCAGAGTCCAGATGTTTCTGCTCTATTCTCCTCGCTCTTTGAAGCGCTACCTGGTGACACGCGGACTTGATGGCCGATGTCGTCCACGAGTTCGTTGAAGTCTCTGCCAACTCCAACTCCAAGCTCTGATGCCAGGCTCTGCCATGATAATAATGATGGGATTGAATATATTTTCCACAAACAGGATTTTTGTTTATTCATTTTTTAGATTCATTTTTTAGGTTTATTTTTATTCATTTTTTTTAAACATTCATTCATTATTTTGTATTTTTTATATTCTTATTTGATTTACTTTGTTTGTTATTTGCATTTGATAAGACAAATGTCTCTGATAGATAATTTAAAAACCATGTTCAAATGTAAATGAGAAGCTTGCCCGTGAATTGGCTTTCTGATGGAGAGACGTGTTGAGATGATATGGACAATTAAGGTCGGGTCTCCACAAGACCAACACAGCTTCTGTTTTTAGTCATGGGATTAAGAAGTAATGGTGATGAGATATGGTAATTGATTGTAACAATGATGATAATGGCACTAAAAATTAAGAGTGTACATCAATGTAAAATAATACTATTGATGGTATTGGTATTTACGATAGCTTTCATAAAGATGAAAAAAATAATGATAATAATAATAGAGTTCTACATCATGTATCATAATCATAATATATAACAAGATTAATGTTATGATTAATAATACTAAAATGATAGTAATAATTATTAAAAAAACAAGAAGAAAAGCGTTAGAACAAAAAAGGAAAAGAAAAGAAATATAATGAAATTGCACATTTGTTGAAACTCAGTTTTGTCTGGTGTTTCGTTTTGATAATAATTGTTTTGTATTTTGGTTCAGTATTTGTGTTGGCATTTCATGTTGTGAAATATAATTAAAAAAACTTGAAATGCCAACTCCTAAGATGCTATATTTCTTACATGCAGGGAGTTGACCATTGATGGTTTGAAGGCAACAGGAGAAGCTGACCCGAGTACAGGGTGAAGGTCTTCCCACGACATAGGGGTGTGGGGAACGAATACGTCCAACGCAAAACATCCAGCGCCAAATTAGCTTTGTTTCAATTGAAAGAAAATAGAAGCGTTGATCGATCTCTAGAGAAGTGAAGGGTGGGTAAAGGAAGGGGAGAAAAAGATGAAATGAAACTATAAAACGATATTCAAGAGGCAAGGAGAGGCCATTTATTAACTTCGAAACACGCACTGGATTTGGAGCAACTTTAGAATAGCCCACCACAAAAATTGACCAGTCTACGTTCGTAGGGTACCCAAAGCTTCACCAATGAAGCTAACAACAACATTGAAGACTCAAATTTCTTAAATAAGTAACTGGACCTAACACTAAACATAATCAATCAATCATCCCTAACTCTAACCCTAACCCTAGTTCTTCGACGTGTATACATTAACCTTATTGGTGGGGTATTCTAAAGTTAAGCCCACGTGTTTCCATGAAAATGGCAAACGCAATAGATCTACATGTTTACACTGCGTGTTTGTATTGTAAACTTGGTCATGATCATGACATGATTGATAAAGGTAAAGAATGAAAAATTTGAAGTTGAAGCCTTAATATCTTTGCTTGATAAATGACACATTTTTATCTAAATCTTCTTCAAACTCGCCTTGTTCATTCAGTGTTATTTATCGATAAGATACTGACCTGGCTTGTTCGAAAAGACGGTTTTAATAGTTCAGAAAAAGTAGAAAATTGTTGACAGAGGGTTCTCAAAGCGCATGTTCCAATCGGAGTATGAAAGCGCGTTAAATTATGCAAGCGTTGTCACAAAGTAATGCGCTAACGCTACGCTTAATATTAACCCAATTAAACTGCATAATATTGCGCATAACCCTCTTGGGGCCAACGCGTTACATACGCCTATGACCGCCCCTTTAGTGCGCAATGACCACGCCCTGATTGTGCAATGATGGATATGTTTTCACAGAACATTACTCTCGACTAAACAGGAGACTTGTGACATGCCATCATGAACAACTTTTTTTTTCTTAATTGTATTCGTCACTAGCATTAAAATCACAATGGTCCATCCCGAGTTTCCATCTTTAAATTTACAATAATAAATGGTTAAATTTCCCTGTAATGACTGTTATGTTAGGCTTACAATGTACGGATGTAAAGGTCGAATTGACTGGCTGCCCAATGACAGTACGTATTACATGCATTGCAAATACTGGTATCTAACTTTCAACCAATCACGATCTAATTACTTAACTCCCCCCTCCCCCCAAAAAAGGAGGGAACATGCATACGCGTACCCTTAATAACACTGAGTGTGTGTGTGGGGGGGGGGGGGCTTAACTCATGTCGTATAGGTAAAAGAAAGTAGGTAGGCCTACTGATGATTGATTGATTTTTATTCGCGAAGCTTCCAACATACAACAATGTACAAGAATAACAGATCTTAAAGGCCCACTGCACTACTGGTAGCTACTTGCGCCCTCTATATAACAAACGATGCCTAATCGGTGACCATTGGTCCCCCATGATCCTCTTTTTCTTATGTTAACTGAGAGCCGAGTTGATGAGATAACCACCTGTCCAGTGACCTTGCAGAGCGGTCTAATCCCTTCTGTAAACTACGGCAGATAAGCTTTAAGTCAGCTTGAGCAGGATGACCCCGGGAAGGGGGGAGGGGGGGGGGGGTATTCAGATTTGGTTTGGACGGGGGTGTGCCGCTCAAGCCTCGAAACCCCTACCCATTATAAAGGGGGCATTTTTCTCGAAAAAAGACCCATTTCCCACAATGTTTGGGTGTCTTACTGACATGATGGGGGCACCTTGCCACTACCCCCGTGCTTCCCTTCCGGCAAATATGGTTATGTTATCTCTTCATCGGAAAACATTTTCCTATTTATGAAGAGAAACAAAATTATTATAATCCAGGGATGATAAGAGAGAATGAACAAAAATAACTAAAATGTCATATTCTGAGTATATAGGACTGGTGCCGCCCCCCTCATCTTTCCGATGCCCCCTCCATGGGTGGACCGTGCACGTCACTGGACGTAGCTGTATATTTTAATTGATTTTAATTGATTTATTGTTACCAAAGACCAAAGTCGACCGAAATATTTAGCTCCAGTATTCTAGCGCCCATGCATGCAAACGTGTTGCCGACCGCGCCGCTCCGCCACCGCGCCCATTTTTCGTACCAACACCTTCGATGCGTGCAGAACGTTCCAGGTATACCACCGGCCAACTACAGCGAAATTTCCTTTCGAGCTTTGTATCTAGCCAGGAAAAGCGTGACTTCTAATCATATTCTTTAAGAAAAGTGAGTAACAAACAATTAATGATTCTTTGTCGATTTCATTACTAAATGGAGTGATTTCTAATTCTTCGCAAACACCTACATTCTGATGTTGTTCCTTGTCTTGTTTCGTATGACGTTATCATTTAATTTTAAAAAGTAAACAAACACTTATATTCTGAAGTTGTTCCTGTCTTGGTTCGGACGCGGTAGTCATTGTTTTAATTTTTTGAAGCATTTGTGGCAGCACTTTATTCTTCTCTTGATCTTTTGTTCTCTTGCTTTTGCCATTATAGTTTTCTCTTCCACTGTCAGTAATATTTCGTATTCAGGATTTTGTAAGGGGAGGTGTTTTTTGCCCAATTCGTAAGAAAATATTTAGCGGTGAATCAGCCAGCCGGCAAATAAGCGGGAGGGAGGGGGAGACTGGCACTCCTTTTTTCAGCTCAACATTCGACCCCCCCCCCCCTTGAGCAAAAAAATAAAATAAAGGGTTTCTTTAAAATTCTCAAAGACCTCCTTTTTCCAAGGGGGGTGTTTGAACACCTGAAACACCCCCTGTTTGCCAAGGGGGTGTTTGGACACCCAAAACATCCCCCTCGATACGCCAATGCTCGACCGTCACACATCTTGGCCTCGTGTTCCCATCCTTAATCCAAATTCAGCAAGCTAGTTTGTATCCGTGGGCTTATTATTTCAATAATGATATATATTTTACATACTGAGAGGTATTTTTTGGTTTTGATTTTTCCTTTTCTTTAGTTCTATTAACGGAAAATCCACCATGTCTCACAGGCAGGTAATAAATCAATTTTTATTGGCGTTATCATTACTGGATTATTATCATTATTAGCAGTAGTAGAATAGTAGTAGTAGTAGTAGTAGTAGTAGTAGTAGTAGTAGAAATAGTACTATAAGTAGTAGTAGTAGTAGTAGTAGTAGTAGAAGAAGTTGTAGTGGTTGTTGTAGTAGTAGTAGTAGTAGTAGTTGTAGTAGTCGAAGTAGTAATAATAGTTGTGTTTTTATTGTAATTGTTATATTCATAATTATCATATTTATTGTTACTATACTACTACTTCTACTACTGCTACAACTACATGTACTACTACTACTACTACAACAACTGTACTACTACTATTTAATGTAGTTTAATGATATTTCAACGAGAACTAAATTAGATAAATGTCATTATGTACAATGTATCATTATTGTAGATGCAATGTTTAATAAATTTAGAATAATTTTGCAAATCAAGGTTTGGAAGAGTTCGATTAAACCTCTAACTTGGAATATAACGATGTGAAGAATATGTGTTAACTTTAAAAGTCAATGACATTGAATGAACAAGTTTATACCATGAAGTTATTTTGGAAATATTTATTCAACAGCGGAGAGGAGAAGAAAAGGAAGATGTTGACATGATTCGGTTCAGAAAAACCTTCGAAGAACTGTCCGGACAGGTAAATATATATATATATATATATATATATATATATATATATATATATATATATATATATAATGTGAATTTTAAATAATTAGCTAACGAGAGAGGGGAGGGAGAGAAAGGAAGACAGAACAGAGGGGAGAGTAGGAGAGAGAGAGAGAGAGAGAGAGAGGAGCTGGAATATAATGCTATAGAGAGAGAGAGAGAGAGATGAGGAGAAGATCAAAGGAAAGTAAAACAAAGATCAGATCAGAATTTGTATTATTTTACAGTTGAAAAATGAAAATGCAATTTTATGAAGGAGTGCTTTAATACACGTAAATTCGATGAATTATTGAAGTCTTCACATTTTGGTAAAGATCTTGTTTGTAAAGAAGAGAAGAACGACTCACTTGCTGCATGGATATGATATTTTTAGTAAAATACAATTTGGTTATCGAGTTCAGCATATACTGCAACCAACACAATGCTCACTTGACATGTACAACAAGGGCCTGCCTGACATGAGCCAACAAAGGCCTGCTTGACAATGATTTTGCACTCAAGGCAATATTTTCAGACCTTTCCAAGGCCTTTCACACCGTGAAGCATAATAGGGGAAGGCAAACAAAAATATTAGACAAGTTTGTTCAAACACTCATGAAAACAAACGAAAAATCACAATTTGGAACCGCTCCCACATTTTGTAGTGGCCTATTTCAAAAGTTTGATGATTTATTTTTGACAAAAAGTAGCGATAGAAAATGAAAACCGTTCCCACACTATTCTTTCTGCTGTGAATTCTTACCAAACTGCCCATCCGGTTATGATTTTTTTCTTTACGTTATCATAGGAGAGTGATGAAGTGAGAAGACGATAAAAATCTCAACACTTGGTTTTAAAAGAAAAGAAAACAAGAACTGATACGTTAAATACAACACACCGTTTGACATAATAATACGTTAAATAATAATATAGCACGTCGTTTTTAAAGACATGTGTTAAAGGTAAAGACCAGTATTGGAGACGCCCCAATTTCAAAAAAATGAAATGGAAGCTCTCATTACCAATCATGTGAAAGAATATGTTTTGACTAATACATGATGATAAAATATTTGCCGGGAAACCGCCTACTAATTTTGGTAAATTTGTTTCTCTCATGGTCTGTGAGAGATATAGCGTAGTCCCATATACATCTTTCTGTGTATAGTGCTTGTAACTTTACGAAGAATGGGCCAAATTTCTTATCATTTTGATGATTCCAGAACCTTGCAGATGCTAGATGCTAGATGATCACCTTTTCTGATCGATTCCACAACGTTTCTTTCACAATGCAATCGCATGACCATAACTGGTCTTTACCTTTAATTAGAACTTTCATTAAACATTCTTATGACAAAATTTTAAAGCAATTTATCAAAAGTGAATGTCAATAGGCTGTATGCATTTTTTGAATTATTAATTACATTGATTTTGTATCGTTCTCTATATAGATTTTATGTTAAAAACTTTGCCTTTAATTATATCGAATGCAAAATAGTGTGTGGAGACGATTGATGTACATGATACTTACTGATAAAGTATATAACCAATGTCAAAACCTAATTAATTCTATGGTATATCAACATAAAGCCACAAATACCCAATTATAAATTGATTATACAATTTTATTGTGTTTTCCCTCAGGACATGGAGGTTGATGCTTGGGAACTTCGGGACATTCTAAATTCATCCCTTCGTCAAGGTTAGTGAATTACAACCAATTAATGACAAAAACCTGACACTGCAGTCTTTTATGTCCGTTGTACAGGAGGCGCCATTTTTCGATTGCGTCATTATTGTTATACCTGCGCTAGCTATTCAACGATTTTTTTTTTGCAATATCAATTTTGCATGTTTTTTTGTATAAGGTGTACTGTTATACAAGACGCATCAAAGTCAGCGCAAGTCGCTGACGCAGTGCTATATGCCAGCAAAATAACGCGCCGTCGACAACTGGCACAGTTCAGTCCAGGTGCATAATCTTACCTAGTAAATTAGACCGTCAGATGAGTCTCTTTATGTCGACGATTATTCCACATTAATTATGTTATTGTATCATGTTTAATTTTTTTGTCTGTTAGCAACCAGTCCATCATTAAGTGCCGATACACTAAAGAAGGGGAGGGGAGGAGGATTGAACCCATTGTTTGGAATAAAATGAGTACATTGGTGGGTTCGTTGTAAGATAATACAATTCTGGTTTCTTGTGCTGTCTCTATGCAGCGCATAATAATGACATCATTATTAACATAACACTTGCTCCAGCAGATGATATGGTACATTGGTACAAACTATGTCTATGCATGTTAGACGACTAGAACTAATATAATGAACGTTATCAATATACATTTGAGTATTCCGCTCCTTTTGTTCCATAATATCACATTCATCTGTTCTTGTCCTTTTTGATTCGGTATTTATAAGATGTGTGTGACGGCCTTTGTGAGTGTCATCATTTCCAACATTTTCGTATAGATAGCATTGGAGGTGTCACTGTATGTTGAGGTGTCATAATGGAATAATAGTTCATTTACTTGACTCTCAATCCAAGGATTGAGGTTTCGAATACCAGTCCGGCACTAATGTCCTTTGGCAGGACATTCATCCACTTTTGCCACTCTCCTCAGAGGCTAACCGATATGCCAGAGCGTTACAAAATATTATTTGGCCGCAAGCTATTGGCCGTGGAAATAATGTTGAAGCGCCAGGAGCGTCACGGCTTGAAGAATCCTATATCACTATTATAATTTGTGATTAATTCAGTTGTTATTTGTTTTCCTATTATTCCTCAGATTTACGCCGTGATCGTTTTAGTGAGGACTCTTGCAAAAGTATGGTGGCTCTCAGCGATGTATCCTTTCTCAAACTGAAACAAGAAGGACAGGGGCGTCATTGGCTCTATTGATAGGGGAGGGGGGTTCGGACCAAATTTGTCGAAAAGAATATAATTATGGAAGAAAAAAAAACGGGGAAAAAAAACACAAACACAAACAAACATCAACATTATTTTCACTTGCCGTCATAGTTTGAATATTACTTATCTGCCGACAACAAATTAAAAACTGCCAATAGTGAAATTGGGGGAGGGTGCTCCCCACACGCCAGCTCCCAAAGTCACTACCCTCACCCCCCCCCCCCCCCCTACCCTCCAGCGACGTCCCAGTAAAAAGGAATAACGTTCTTCCCTTTTAGCAAAACTTAATGCTTTTAGTACAATCAAGGAGCGAATTGGCAAACAACAATTTCAAGGAGAAGAATTTGTGTTTTATTATTTTCCTGAACGTTTTCACACAGGAGGATCGTACTGGCAAGCTTAGCTTTGATGAGTTCAGGGAGCTGTGGGACCACATCTGTGAATGGAAGGTATAATATTAATATAGACAATTCTTTTCGTAGTAACCTCATGATTGGCAATAATGACTATAATGACTCTTAAAGAAGAAAAAGGGTTGAACATAATAATTTACATGAGCATAGATGAAATTATAGGGTTATATTCAATACTAATCCTATGCATGTACCCCTTTTTCTTATTGAAAATCATTATTTGTGACATTTTAATCTTAGAATTCTAGAAGTGCCCTTAAAACATTATTGTCTTGTGAGGTATAGGAGTAAATATAAAGTTTTTCTTCATATTAGACTTTGATTGATACTTTTTGCAGGAATTATTCAAGAAGGCAGACACTGATAACTCTGGAATGATCAGTACCAACGAGATGAGGGTGTCTTTAACCTCACTTGGTAAGAACATTGTTACTGTTAACACTTTGGTTGCTTTCTTTGTCTCTCCGCGCTGCACGGAGCTCGGTTGCCACATGTGCAATTTTGCACAAAACAATAGGCACCAATATTATTGAAGGATTGATTTGTGCAACACAGTGGCTTTGGCGAATTACCTATTACCAGTCTTGATTAGCTCCATGACAACTCTTAACACGGGTATATGTTGATTAATCTTAAACTGGAAACAGTTCAATAATCATGAAACCTTCGGTATATCTTTTTCACGATAAATACTAACTCGATGTGAAAATAAAAGCCTTTTGTAAAACAGCGCATTTCCTAAAATAATGACACTTTCAAACAATCCAATGAAAATGGCATACTTTATGCAAATTTAGATCCACCATTTTAGGCGAAAACTAAATTATTCTGTTTGTGACTAGGATTATGATAGAGTATTTCAATCCATAATATCGAGTGAAAACGTAAACCTATGGCCAATGTATACTTCTGTCTATCTGCTTCAACTTCGGGGGCACTGGAAGCGTGGTCCTTCTCATGTGTTATTCCTTCAGCGATTTTCTTCCACGAAGGAATGAACATTATCTAATAGCGGACAATATGACTGAAGTAAAAACTTTCATACCGAAACTTGTCAACAGTAAAATTATTCAAATCACTCATAATGACAGCGAAAGTAAAATGTAATGTATGCGTTATAACAAGGCTAGTTGTTACTATTTTATGTGTTAATACATGTATGCTTTCTAGCTTTGTATTTTTTGTGCGTGTTTTTATTTTGCTTTTGTGATTATTTTGTTCCCCTGTCTTCTTTTCTTGTAGGCTTTAAGCTGAAGAATGACACATTTCGAGCCCTTGGTCTGCTGTATGGAAACAAGGAGGGTAACTTGTCATTTGCCAGCTTCATACATGTCGCTATCAGAGTCAAGTTTATGTACAGTAAGTTGACTTCAGAAGTTTATTTCGAGGGATTTATATTCAGTGAGTTGAATTTAATACGAAGTTAAGTAGTATAAACAAATCTGAATGTTATGCATAAATCCAGGATTTCTTGCAAAGTTTCGAGGAGTAATGTATGATCCGGGGTTACAACCATAACAAACTTTTCCATGCAGGCGGTGAGATTATCAGTCCAGCTCCTCTCTTTATATTTGTTGGGAACCGTTATGATAATTCAAAAATGGTTGGGAATGCTTGCCATACATTATGCGAGCTCTTGAACTCAAGTAATTTCGTTAAATTGTGTCTAATATTTATATCTCACTGTATGTGTTAGCATCAGTTATGAAGCTCCAGACTTTCAGCGTAATTTTTGGGATGCGTTTTTTTTATTACTTTGAGTGTGTGGCATTAAAATAAATGAGTTGAATATTAATTTTGTGACGAAATTTCTTTTCTTTTTGGTTTGTTTTACAGCTACCTTCGAATCAAAGAGCCGCGGTGACAAGGCCAGATTCAATTTGGAAGAAGTAAGATAATGATGTTTTCAATATAATTATGACAGGCACAATAGGGGTCATTAATTTTAAAGTGTGTTTGTATTAATAGTGGCGGATCAAGGGGGGGGGGGACACAGGGGCATGCATGGCAATAAATATTATGTGGCATACCTCAAGTACAAATTTATAAAAGGAGAACGTGTCCCTAATCAATAATGTTTAATCCCCTCAATTTTAGTCCCCCCAATTTTTTTGTTTTGTTTCCTTTTTGCGATTCACAAATTTTGGGGGACTAATTCTGGATTCGCAACTGATTATGCTCCTGTTTTCCGTCCTAGACTTTTTAATAAGGGATTTTTTCGCATATTTCATGACATTTAAACAAAATATCGAATCTTTTTAATCGAAGTGGATAATAAATGTGAAGCAATTGAAAAGTTGATATGTATGAATGATATTTGCAAAAAAAGATGAAATTTTACATTTTGTAACATTAAATCATCAAAACTTACCCATTTGGTATTTATGAACATTATATCTTTCAACCATAATTTGGTAAAATTTCCGTGGATACCAATGTGAAATCGTTTTTCCTTAATCTTATTTTTTCAGCTGCTGATGGTATACTTCTACTCTTAATTTTCCCGGTGCCATCGTGGTTCATGAGAAGCAGTCAGTCAAGTTTTAACAATTCAATGTTTACAACCACAAAATCATCTTTCATTTTCAATTTTATTATGCATTTGATATGCCTACAGTGATGGTAAATATCACATGAATATAAGAAATATTGATATAGTATAGTATATAATATAGTATAGCTGATCATAATTTAATTAGGTCTGTTAAATAGAGGTTTTGCCGACATGCCAACAGGTTTTAGTAGTTTGTATAATGGATATAAGCACTTTTGGGCAATTTTCAAGACACTTTTGGAGACTTGGAAAAGTCAGTCTCTATAATGTGGCCCCTGCCAGAGAATCATGCGCCCTTGATTTGTTGGTAGTACATCTACATACAAATTAATCAGTGAGTATTTTTCAGTTCATATTTTTGTAAATTGGTGATGATAATAATACTCATAGATTAAACTAATATAGGTCTTTGCAGCCAATTTTGCATTTTTTTCCATTCAAATTCGAGGTCGCTCGCAGGTGAATATGGGCATTCAAATTCAAAATCCGAGCAATCAATTTCATTTATCGGCACTCTTATTCATGTTCGGTGAAATCAAATTCACGAATGTGCGAACAATTTCCTACTTCGTGCATTCAAATTAGTGTAATATAGAGAGGATTTCCAGATAAGAGGGAAGCTTTGATTTCTTTAAATTGATACTTGGAATTATTGTTAATCACTGTTACACAATGAAATATCCACAGTTAAGTTAATGTTCTTTGTTTATCTGACAATTTTTGCTTTTGGATCATGACTTGTATTTGATTATCATATCGCTAATTATATATATATATATATATATATATATATATATATATATATATATATAATTATATATGAATATCCCGTACTATGCCTTCTTTTAAAATTATATGTATATAAATTAGAAATGATTGGAAACATTGATAGAGTTTTAAAACATAAAAACTAGTTATTTCGAGATGATTTCTGCTATAGTTTACTGGGGAAATGCATTTACTTAAACTAGAATGAAAAGACCTTTTTTCAATGAAATAGTTATTTTGTATGATTTATATAAACCAGTTTTGTGTTCGTCTTCCTCTCTCTTTCTCTCTCTCTCTCTCTCTCTCTCTCTCACTCTCTTTCTCAACCCTCTATCTTCATTTCGTTGTCCCATTAATAGCTCATCTCTATTTTTATTTGTTTCTATAATTCTAATAAGATGTGCACATTCATCATTAAAGACGATTTGGTCCATGCATTGTCATATGATTGGAAAGCGAATGTCCTTTGATATTTTGTAATTCAAGCTAATGATTTTACAAGAAATAATATATTATACAACTTTATGAGAGACACCTCAGTTGTGTATAGGTAGAGCATGACATTTCTACAGAATTGTTTATTTTCAGTTACATATTTACATCTAGGAACAGTTGGAGAAAATAAATTACATTGATTACGCATCATCATTGAACAAGCCCTTATCATTCTTAATTTTATATCTATACTTCACAATGAAATTCTTCGTTAATAATGCTTTTGCTCTTACTTCAAATTGTTATGAAATTTGACTGATATTGTCAAAACCATTAACGCATTTGAGTTGTGTACATTCCGAGTAATAAACTAAAGAGATTGATATTAACATTTTGATAATTTTGTTAATTTTAGCGTAGTGCACACCAAAGACATATATTATCCTCCCTCTTTATGTTTCATTATTTAATTAGTATTAATATATTCGCATGATTCTAAATATCGGATTTTACAATATTTCTGGTTGTGTCCAGACCACACCTTCCATATACTAGTACAATAAAAACATTGATCGTTTCACGTTTTATTGAACATGCTGAGAAAATTGTTCTATCTAATATGTTTAAAAAAATTCTAATTCAATGAAATAACGGGAAATAAAGAAAAATAAAGCAGTACGTTAGTTGAGTAGGATGGTGCGTGCGCGTGTGTGTATTTATGTGTGTGTGCGTGCGTGTGTGTGTGTAAGAGAGAGATATATATATAAATAGATAGATATACAGATCTCTCTAGCTCCCTCTGTATGAGCGAAAAGGGAGAGTGTGCGTGTGTGTGTGTGTGTGTGTGTGTGTGGGTGCGCGCGCGCACACAAGGCCGTTAACAACCTCTAGATGTCTTTAGTCTACAGTGCTTTCAATTTGATACATGAATAGAAAATGGCCAACCTCTATCAGAGCAGTCGTTTTAGATTAGTTTGTTGAAGAAAGAAAAACCTTTATATTTTAAGTTTGCTTTAAAGGGATTGGGTATTACTTTGTTTCAGATTCTGAAACAAAATCCTGGATTTAGCTCATGCTGCAATGACAATTATAAACCTTTAGGTCAGTCAGGAACCCATGACTTTTACAAGCCGATCGCCTGTCTGATTATCAAGATATCTATGATTAAAAAATCAAAATCAAATTTTGCGTTTTCCTAACGGTTTTCATAACACTATATTTTTTTTTTTGGGGGGGGGGGGGGGAAACGAGTATGGTAAAACCGGTCACTCAAAGATTTTTTACTTTTTTCAGGCACTTCTTGATCATATTGAAGCGCATTTTGTCTAGGGCTTCAATATTACACCATATCACAGATACTTATAACACTTAGGGCCGTGCATCCCAGATTTAACATGGTTAAACGATGCCTTTAAGAGACGGGATCAGTATCAGCATTAAAAATACATAATGGTATATACACCAGTCGCTTAAATCTATCAAATATTATTATCTTTCTCTCTAGGTAGTCAAACACCCCCTTTTTTAAATTTTATATTATTTTATGGAGTTACCCCCTTCCTTAGGTAATGTTTTCAATTAAGAAAACCAACAACATCATGACCTCATTCCACAAATCATTGATCTAAGACTAACAGCTTGATATCGATGATACAGACATTAATGTACGATTAGTTTGGACGGCGAATAATTTCAAAGATAGCGGGATATTGTAACGCACCACGCTTTAACATCGATCAACTTACAAGGCTACAAGCACACTTCGCAAGTGAACTGGATTAGGTTCTGAAACATGAAGACATTTCTTTTTAGGATGTCGAAACTTTTAAATCTTTCATATACTAACCGTCACTTTGTCTACCTATTGGTTAAGGGCGTATCAAGAGATTGGCTTTAGAACGGGCAAAGTATTTCGACTTATTTTGAAGCATTAGTAAGGAGGCCTATAGTTCAGGCGCGGATCCAGGGGGGGCCGAGCGGGCCTTGGCCCCCCCCCCCCCGCAAAAAAAAAAAAAAAAAAAAAAAAAAAAGAGAAGAAAGGAAAAGAAGGGAAAGAGAAAGAAGAGAGAAAGGGAAAGAAAGAAGAGGAAGAAGAAAAGAAAAGGGGGAAGAAGGAGATCGGGGAAGGCGAAAGGGCCTTGCCTCCCAGGCTGTTGACCCCCCCCCCCCCCCCAATCAAAAAAATAAGAGAGAAGGAAGGAAAGGAAAGAAAAAAGGAAAAGAGGAGATACTGGCGTACTGATAGGGGGGGGGGGCTTGGGGGAAATCAAATTCAAACGTGGTTTATTTCTAATTCCACAACGGTGGATTACAAATAATGCTGAAATGACATAATTTCCGAGATTTTTCCTCACTTTTTAGTAGATTCCTACATGTCAGGGCCCGAGGTACGGCGGGGATCGGGAGCCCCGAGTCCCCCCCCCCCCTACTTTTTTGAAAAAGTATATTAAAGAGAAATAAAATAGAATAAGAGCAAGAAAGAAAAAATAGTTAACTGCCAGTGTTGAAAAATAATGAGGCATCAAAATATGCTCATCTGACCGTGATTAATGCATAAAACCCCTAAGCTTCCGGGGGCTCTGCCCCCTGGATTTCACCTAGGGCCCTACGGCGGGCCCTTAGATGCTCATCTGACGGTAATTTAATGCCTAAAACCCCTGATTTTTTGGGGCTCCGCCCCCTGGACCCCACGCCAAATAGTGACGTGCCAGTCTCACAAAATAGTAAGGTATACAAAAAAATGCTCATCTGACCTTAATTAAACGCCTAAAACCCCTGAGCTTCCGGGGCCGGCTCCGCCGCCTCGACCCCCCCCCCCCAGGGGCCCTAAGACGGCCCCTGATTCAGACAAGGATTAAGAGTATAGAGACTGATACAACGCATCGTCTTCTTTCTCTAATAATATATAATGAAACGTCAAAGCTTCGCGCAGGAGGGGAGGGGGATGAATTCAGTCAAGGATTAAGAATCGAGAACGGTACAACGAATCGTCTTCTTTCTCTCATAATCTTATGAAACGTCAAAGCTTCCGCGCTTCGCGCGGGAGGGGGGAACCTGAATTCAGACGAGGATTCAGAGGCGAGAACGGTAATACGAATCTTTAATGATTTAATGAAATGTAAAAGCTTCCGCGCTTCGCGCGGGATGGAGGGGGAACTAAATTCCGATGAGGATTATTTTCGAGAACGGTACAACAAATCGTCTATTTTCTCTAATGATTTAATGAAACGTAAAAGCGTCCGCGCTTCGCGCGGGAGGAGGGGTTGGGGGAGAATCTAAATTCAGACGAGGATTATTTTCGAAAACGGTACAACGAATCGTCTTCTTTCTCTAATGATTTAAGGAAATTTAAAAGGTTCCGCGCTTCGCGCGAGAGGGGGAACCTGAATCCAGACGAGGATTAAGAGTCGAGAACTGTACAGCCAATCGTCTTCTTTCTCTCATAATCTTGTGAAACTTAAAAGCTTCCGCGCTTTGCGCGGGAGGGGGAGGGGGAGTCTGAATTTAGACAAGGATTAAGAATCGAAAACGGTACAACGAATCGTCTTCTTTCTCTAATGATTTAATGAATCGTAAAAGCTTCCGCGCTTCCCACGGAAGGGGGAACCTAAATTCAGACGAGGATAAAGAGTCGAGAACTCGACAACGAATCGTCTTCTTTCTCTAATAATTTAATAAATCGTAAAATTTTCCGCGCTTCGCGCGGGAGGGGGAAAACTAAATTCAGACGAGAATTATTTTCGAAAACGGTACAACGAATCGTCTTTTTTCTCCAATAATTTAATGAAACGTCAAAGCTTCCGCGTTTCGCGGAGGAGGGAGGGGGAAAATCGCACCTCCCTGCACCGACCCCCCCCCCCCCGCATTACTTCACTCTTGGTCACCATTACGTACCAATATTTGGCTCGCAAAATTTCAAATTTGGGCCCCCCCCCCCCTAAGAAATCCTGGATCCGCGCCTGCTATAGTTTGCGTTACAAGACTTTACCATCCAGAAGGGTACAAAATGTAGATTAACTGTTAGCCATTTACTTCTAGTAAGAAGAGCCCTAGCCTGCAATAAGGGGGAGGAGGGGGAGGGGGTGGGGAGCATCGCCCAAAATTATTAATGAAAAGTAAAGTCTTTGAGATTATGTCAACACTTTGAGCGTTTATCAGCATAGATGTGTCTGGTCGAAGGCGGCTTATCAGCAACTCCTAAAACTCGAATTCAAGTCCAGAGCCAGCCATTTCCTTATCGTACAGCTTGTCAAATCGCTTCTTCTGTTCGTCAGTGAAATAATTCTTCCAGTCTCCAACCACACCTTGTGAGGAAATGAATGTAGGGTGATAGAAGGAAAACAGAAAGAAAGAAAGATAGAAAGAAATTATCAAATAAATAATTAAAGGGGAAAAAGTAAGTATGAGTATAATACAAATATTATATAAAATAGATACAACAATGTAACAGAAAACATTCAAAACATAGTGTGGGAATACAATATAAAGTGGAAGGAAGGGAAAATATATTTTTAGAGAGCTAGCTAAAAATGGAAAGAGGGGATACAGAAAATCAATTAAGAATATTTTTTGTATTTGTAAGGGGGGGGGATCATTTTTTCCAATTCGTTTTTTCCTTTTGCCAATGCAGTATATCAATTGTGTAATCATCTAGTACCTTTTCTCATGAATGAGGATGTACTCGATTGTCCGAGTCCGGACTCCTTGTTGCCCTTCTGCAGCAGAGTGTCGGGATTTGATAAAGGGTTCTTCTTCATTGCCTCAAACGTCGAAGCTTCCGCGATTTTCTCGATGACGTCATCTGAAAGGGACTTTCCCATGAATTCAGCTATCTGTTGTACGGCTCCTGGTAAGTCCTAAAAGTCGTATGAAGAATTAAGAATGATGTTATTTAACATTATCAAAATGTTTTCACCATTGAAATTATGATGTATTTTGTTAATAATTTCTCAAGTTACAGACATTGTTATTGTTTCTATTACAAAAAGAGCTTTGTATCATTTAAAAAAGAGCTATAAAAATGCGTATATTGTTGTTATTGTAATTATTATCATCATTATCAGTATCATTACTATTATTAGTACCAGAAGTAGTAGTAGTAGTAGTAGTAGTAGTAGTGAGCATTATCACCATCATCATCTTATCGTCATCATCATCATTATAAGTATTATCATTATTATTATTATTATTATTATTATTATTATTATTATTATTATTATTATTATTATTATTAGTGTTGTTGCTCTTGTTCTTGTTGTTGACAATATAAAATATAATGATTCCACGAAAAACTGAATGTAATACGTTTACCCAAAGATATATGTCATCTGTTAGGAGTCATATTCTAAGGGGCCTATCGCCGAAGGAGTAACTTGCCCAGCAAGACAATTAATGCACATTTGCCACTCTTCACCCTCAGGGGTGGTATTCTGAACATATAAGTTTTGTGTTATCTTTTGTTGTATCTTCCAGAGATAACACAGCGCTAATATTGTTGTAAGTTGGTATTCTGAACATCATTTTATCCCTGTGTTATCTCTTGTTCAGAATACCGCCCAAGGTGTTTAATGAGCAGCTGATGGGAGGTATTTCATGAAACGCTGTGCTGATAACGGCTGCCAGGGCTAAAGCGAGTGTTATAATATCCAAACATTTTTGGAAGTGCATAAGGACGTTATATCATAATGTGCTATAGAGGAACGTCTTAATATGATTATTAGCTTTTATCACAGAGGGTATTGTCTTTTGTATTTAGATCCAATCCAATCCGAAAGATATTTGATATAGCGCCTTTTCCTTGCGGTAACATAAAATAATTGGCCGGTTGTAATTGTCATGTTGTAAATGTCCGGAACCATTTATGGTACAAAGTTGAAATTATGTACTTCTGTCCTTCTATTTCAGTTTTGCTTGAAAAATGTTCGACAAATTTTCCTATACTTTTTTAAATGATTGAAGTAAATAAAGAATATTTTATTTTAGGGGAAACAACGATACACCTCACTTTCTTCATATCTTCGTACTTGAGAAAGAGAACGTTTGGATGATTTCTTCTTCTCCACCATGGCAACACGTACGTTTTCAAACCAAGATCCTTGAGGAGCTGAGGTAGAAATATAATGCAATCGCAATGACTTTCAGGAAATCATCTCAAAAGTCATTTAAATAATTATTGCCTAAATGATCTTGTTTGAAGCATGTGTTTTCAGTGTACCCATATTTTAAAGCCATGCTGTACTAGCATCATTACCGCAAAATCCCCTCTAGCGCCACCTCAAGTCAGCTGTAACAGTAAGGTCCCGGAGTTCGCTGCTTCCGTAGCTGCGCTGTTGGATTTTGGCATCGACTCCTTTGTTTTCGAAGTGGGAATTAAAGGCGTAAGTCCCTCAGATAAAATCTTAGATTTGAACCTCGTGTAGAGGGGAGTCACGTACACCTGTGCACGTTAAGAACACACTGCACTATTCGTATAGGAGTAGGGGAAACCCCGGCAAAGTGGTCCACCTGTATACCCAATCAGTTATATCGAGAGAAGACACTCAAGGATTACAGTGGTCCAGTTAGCTTTTTATCTCCCGGAAAATCTCTCAGAAAGTGTCCCTTCTTGGGTATAAAATTCTAAATGACGACTTACCCCTGTTAGCTAAGAACTCTTCAAAGAACATATCCCAAGAATCATAGCTCGGCAAATGTGGAGTGTAATGACAGAAATGGTAGTAGGAAACAGCCGTATCCTTTGGGTTCCGGGCTACGTAGATCACCTGCAAATCAACGCAATATAGACCATTTTTGTAATGTTACCAAATTGTAAATCATAATATGTAACTGTAAAGTGACTAGATTATATTTTTTTTTTATACCTCACTTAAGAAATCCAGCCATCTGATTGGTCGAAATTGCAGTCATGACTTTAGCCATTCCCGTAAAGAAACCATTTAATAGTCCAAGTGTAAAATCCCGGCAAAATGACAGTTACAGGCAAAATAATAAAATCTCGTTGCGATACCCATTGGTTTACGTGTTTAATGTTCTTTGAGCGAGCGCAGAAATCATACAGTGCTTTTTGTCTGCGATTCCCAACTGATCGAAAATTTCAGTCATTTTTCGGACGGTGATAAACAGACAGTTTATCAGATTTTCCGCGATGTCTTAACCAATCTTTATCCGATAAAAGGATAAGGTAAGAATTCTTGGTAGATTTTTGTTTTGATTCGGCATATAAAAGGGATTTCGACTGCTTTAATACTCGAGGAATGTTTGTTTCTATACTGGCTCTTGGGGAATTTGCCTCCGCTGCTATCTCCCCTCGGCGCGCCACCCACATAGGTGCGCCTCGGGGTGATAGCAGCGGAGGCAAATTTCCCTTGAGCGTATAAAAACAGCCAGTCCTCTCGAAGCAGTCGATATTTCTATATTATGCACCTTTTACGAAAAATTTTATCTTAGTAGTCAGAACTCGAATTGCATATATTATATATCATCATAATCCAGTGGAAAAACCCAGGAAGTGGTGATCACACCAGCCCCAAATGTTGAATTTTCCCTGCCCTGCTCCAGCCCGTTGCTTGAATTGTTTCGTGGTTAACCTCGTGCGCAGGCTTCGTTGTTTAGAACCAGTAAGCTTAGCGACGAGCGAATATGAATTTAACACTTCCGGTACTCTATATCTGTGACAGGGTCTCGTTGGTGTAACTAAGCGGGTTTCACACCGGGTCATACGTAGAATTGCGTAGTGTTGTGTACCGACTACGCCAAACGTACGCTTCCCTACAATGGCCCACGTAACTGTACGCTGAGGGACGAAAAATGGTACGTGACTTTCGGCGTAAACACTAGACGCAGAAAGTACGCATTTTTGACGCAAGTCTATGAAACACTGCGCAACACTACGCTACTGTTCGCCATGCCTACGCTACCCTACGCCAGTCCGACAAGCAGTAAAAGCGTATGAAGGCGTCCTAGATTCTACCTGCATACAGTTAGCAACCATACGCAACCGTAAGCAAACCTACCCTTTACGCCAGGCCTACATAAACATACGCAAACTTACGCCTGTTATACGCAATCGAACATGTAAGCACGCTAATTGCATATGCCGTAGGTACGGCTTCGCACGGGGTACGTACGTAACCAAAGGCCATCGTCCGCAAGCCTACGCATTACCTACGCAGGGACTATACCGAAGCAATATTTTCATGAATACGCAGCCTACTTTAGGTGTACTCGCTACGCCACGCAGATCCGGTGTGGAAGGGGCTTTAGTCATTTGAATGTAGCCACAAACTTACCTTGCTTTCGGATCGTCGGTGCTGATATCCTGGGGTAGAAAAGGCGAGTGGCAGTGAGATTTGAGTATCCTTGGCGACGCCATCTTTTCAGCCTTGTCAATTACCAGCGGTGATGTCTGAAATGACGTCACAATATAACATTAGACATTATTAATTAAATAAATATGATAATAGTCAACATAATATAGTCAGTACGGAAATAGTCAAATATTGTCATATCAAAAAATAGTCAATAAGAAAAACAGCCAGTAATAATCACTTTTACAATTGTGAATTAACATGCTAAATCAAGTGACCTTAAAGGTAAAGACCAGTATTGGAAACGCCCAATTTCAAAAAATGAAATGGAAGCTCTCATTACCAATCATGTGAAAGAATATGTTTTGACTAATACATGATGATAAAAAATTTGCCGGGAAACCGCCTACTAATTCATATATTTGGTAAATTTGTTTCTCTCATGGTCTGTGAGAGATATAGGGTAGTCCCATATACATCTTTCTGTGTATAGTGCTTGTAACTTTACGAAGAATGGCCCAAATTTCTTATCATTTTGATGATTCCAGAACCTTGCAGATGCTAGATGCTAGATGATCAACCTTTTCTGATCGATTCCACAACGTTTCTTTCACAGTGCAATCGCATGACCATAACTGGTCTTTACCTTTAAACCACCTGAATGGGTTAACACCCACTTCACAAAGTGACGCACGTTCTCTCATTTTAGGTATTTATATGCGGATTGAAAAACATTACACATTATATGGATTGTTTGTTAGAAAGTTAGGCTTCGCTCGTTAAAACCTCGTAGTAGACTACGCGACAGTTTTTTAATATTTGTTCATGAGGACGTAATGTAATAATTATGCTTCCGTTATATTATAACAAAGAGTAAAGTTTATAGGTCAGATTGGCATTAATATATTTGTCGGCAATTGGTGGCTAGTTTTGTCGATAATCGGTGGCCTCTACCCCCCCCCCCCCCCTCCCACACACTGAAAAAGGTCTAGCGACGCCCCTGATTGTACATACCGATGGGTTTCGGCCGTCTTCCACGCTCTCAAGGAATGGAACTGCCTCCATGATATTGGTGCCTTCCAGTCTGCTCATATCACCGTCATGTTGAATTAACAGACTCAGCTGCTCCACCCACGTTGTGCCTTGTACGAGAAAATAGAAATTGTCTTATTCAGGGGGTGATAGTGAGCACTTAAAAATATTTTTAAAGGATTTTTTGCCCCCTCAACCACGCCTCCTTGATTAAACACATTCAAAAAGAAGAGGATTCGGGGAAAAAATACCTCTAACACCTAAAAATACAAAATAAACACCTAACCCCCCCCCCCCCCCCCTGAGTTATATATTTAAAGCTAGATTACAGAATTATTGATGATTTCAAAGAAAAACCATTCATATTCGGAATGTCCGTCAAAAACTCTTCTACACGTCTCTATTTTCAATGTTAAGCCCGTTTTAATTGGAGGGGCCCTTTAAGTTGGACTTGACCTATGGTAGGCCGTTTATGCCACTGGCTGCTCTCACCAATCCTGGCATTAAACTCGCAAGGGTGTGCAAATTGTTCCTTTAAATCTACAGGATTTACGTTGTTTGATAGTTCATTTGAGAAAAAATATTTAATCAAGTTCTACTTAAGACTTGGGCTCAAACAATGGTAAGTAGTTTATACCCCCTAAAAACTCTTAAACCAGATCGGATGAAAAATACCAAAGAAATTATGATTTAGATATCAAAGAAATTCTTTTTTCTTCATTGATAAACTATAAACAAATTTCAAAGCTTTAAATTTGTGATCAAGATGTGCATGTTTCTTTGAGAGACCAATGCCAGGAATGGTAAGTACAACCAGAGGCATGAACGACCTGTCATAATTCAAGTCCAATTAGAGTCGATCTTAGGCTTTGTAAAGAGACTAGATGGGATATTTTCAATTCAGTTCTAATGTCTCTGTTTTCTGTGACCCATAATACTTCCCTTTTTTTCTTCAGAAACACACTCCCTTTTTGTTTGACCCACCACCTTTTCATTATACACTGTCGCTCATAAAGGTGGAATATTTTAGTTTTACCCCAATTTATGGAATTATTTTTAAATTAAAAAAAAATAATAGATCTAGAAAATAGTATACATTCTCAGATTTTATTGAATAATAATTTGCCAATGTGTGTTTTTGCGGGACTGCTAAAGCATGTGTATGCTTCTATGCTTATCAACTAGGGGGACCTACGCCCTCAAGTCATAAATGACAGTAATAAGGATTAATGCCCCACAAAAGGGCACTAATATAGCACATCGACACGGTTTTGATCAGCGACAGGGAGAAAACGGCGGTTTCACCTTTGTTTACATAAGGAAATTTCAATCGGTATTTTCATCGGTGTGACTCCGATATAGAAGCCAGTTTAAAAGCAGTATCTTTCTGTTTTGCCCTCTTCATGCACCCCACGGATTTAGGCAGTGGCGGATCCAGGGGGGGGGGCCGGGGGGCCCGGGCCCGGGCCCCCCCCCCCCCCCTTGAGAAAAAAATCATGTAAAATCACGTGATTTTTACGATTTTTGGGGGTTGGGCCCCCCCCCCCCCTGGCGCTCAAGGGGGGATGCAAATTGAATTTTTTTTGAGGATCAAAAAAAAAAAATGTGCTCACTACCCCCCCCCCCCCCCCCCCCCCCCCCCCCCAAATTTTCGGGAGCAAAAAAAAAAAAAAGTTGGGCCCCCTCCCCTAAGAAATCCTGGATCCGCGCCTGGATTTAGGGTCCCGTGTCCCCTTTCTCGCGCACCCTGTAGCTTAGTCCAGAATCTGTCCTATTTAATTTTGATCACCGCGCTATCTCTGCGATGTGGAAGGTACAACGTCGTTTCGGTCCGCCTAACTGCGAGCCACGGCGAGCCAAATGGCGTGCCACTGGAGCACCTCTTGGGGGTGGTCCACGAAAGTCCACAAAAAAAAGGGGGGTGCTACGATAGACCGTGCCATCTCATTGCGGTGTGAACAGCCTCCACCACACCAACGCTACCTCTCCCTACTTACTTGCTACTAGCCGATGATGGCGTGATCATTAAATTAGGACGCCCGGCGGGCTGGTGAGCATAATAAGCCAGTTCACGGTCGCAGTCTGAGCATGAACAGATAAAGGTCATTGCAGAACGAATTGTGAAATACATGGAGACGAAATACTGGATACAGCTCATGAAAGTTATGTAATTATTATTCATTTATGCACTCAATGATACACAGGTGGAAGTATTCTTTGAAAAGAGGAAATAAAGGCTATTTATGAAGCACCTCCATCGCTGTAGGAGTGATTATTTCAAAATATACAAAGTGGGACCTCTTCACGTTTTGAAGATCTGTGGATATTCGGGGTCATTGCAGTAATGTGCTAACCGTGAAATGGTCTATTATGAGTTTGTTGATAACGCCATCTTCGACGGCTTGAATCAAGTGTGTGGGGAAATTTTAAAGGACCGTGCAGATTCTGGACTACCTGTAGCTACGCTATTGAAAAGGTTTATTTGTAATAATATGTTAACGACCTATGTATATAGGCCCAAGAACACAACAGACCTAAGAACACATACGCCTCCTACCGAACTTTGATACCAATATTCCAAAGGAACTGCGTTTTAACAAATGTGCTTGCATTTTATCTCATTCTTTACGCAGATACTGTTTAAAGCAGAACAACAAATATGAGCGCTAGATTTTCTTCCAATGTTCCGGCATGCGTCGTCGAGACGTGTTACGAGCACGAAGGCGTGATCGTACCAAATATTATGCCTCTTAAGGTCCTTAAACGCATGAGGAGCTTCACCGTTCGACCTGATGACCTGTTCGTCGTGACCTACCCTAAGTCAGGTATTTATCAACATTTTTTTTAAGCCAAGATCTTTGTTGATTTGTCAAGATTGATGGTTCCAAACAATGGTGTTGTGCTCGACCACACCAGCCCCAAACAATGAATTCGCCCTGTCGCATCCTGTTGCTTGAATGCTTTTCCGGTGAGCCTAATGCGCAGACTCTTTTTTTTTTGTATAGAACCAGTAACCTGATCGACGAGCGAATATGACGTTAGCACTTTGGTCACACTCTATTGCCTAACTTTAAAATGTAGAAACCTGTTTTTTATCAGGAAGAAAAGGTAACCAATTTGAGTCCCAGCACACTCAAGTTTTGAGTGAAATTAGTCGCCCTTGATATGTATGTGATTGGACTTCAGAGAGCAGTGGTATATTTTCTAATCACTCTATCAATGCACCGTTAATATTTACCTTTCCGCATTCTGTCTATTTGTCGCTCAATGAAATCAGAATGTGCATTCCTCTTTATGACCTTATTCAAATAACGATGGAAGAAATCCAATAAAGTTTAGTCTTGCGCGTGACTTCCCACACACAGACACACACACGCGCACATGCACAAATGTTTGTCATTTTATTACAAAAATCATATTGTTTTCAAGTGTACAATGCATTTCCGGGTATGCTTTCGACCATGAACTATTTTACTTTCTTTCTGTATTGTATTTTTTTCTCTTTTCCAACTTCAACATCTGCCAATCAATTCCAAATATAATGATATAAGTTTCAAATGTCAGTTACTGTAAACCAAGCGCGTACGCAGGGTGGGGGGGGGTGTTTGGGGGGTTAAACCCCCCCCCCCCTTTGGTATTTTTATGTGTATGAACCCCCCTAAAAAACAACCCCCCCCCCCTTTGGTTTTTTTTTATTTTTTATAATAATAACAAAAAAAATTATTCCCATGGCTGACCTAAAAAAGGTGACCTTACCCCCCCCCCCCCCCAACGGAGCAAAACGTCAAATTTTCAAATTTCGAGACCAAAAAAAAAGAAAGAAAAGTGTCCTCAAGACTTGGACAACTGCTGCAGGCCAGCGAGCTGTACTGGAGTTGTGCGTATGTTGATACTGCGTTAAACAGGTGCCTTCATTTTCACTTTACAGCTGTTCACCCCCCCCCCCCCCCCCCCCCCCCCCCCCCCCCCGCTTATTCAGCTGCTGGCTGAGTCGATGTGAAATTTTCGACCCGATTTAAAAATGTTAAACCCCCCCCCTTGAAAAAATCCTGCGTACGCGCCTGCTGTAGACGGAAGATGGTAAGTATAATAATGATACATAGATAGTTTAAAGTCTGTAAAGGTATAAGAAACTATGTAATGGTAATATTCAAAGGTGATGTACATGTAAGAAATATGTTTAAACCTTTGTAAACTGCCATGTAGATGCAATTAAGATTGATATAAATTGACTTAAAACAAAGGTTCTATCAATAATGAGCGATTTCGTATATTGTATGTTGTTTGAAAGAGATGCTGAATGGTTCTCAGAAGGAACGTTTCAAAATTTTAAGAAAAATGGTACTCATCTGGTCTATTTCCTTTTCTAATCGATATTATAAATATCAGCAAGACGCAACTCACATTTGACGTGAAGAATGCAGGAAACTATACAGCCATGGCGGCGAGAATGTCTGTATAGTTGTATGCCTGTACGGTTTTAACCAATCATAATGCAGGAAACTATACAGCCATGGCGGCGAGAATGTTTGTATAGTTTCCTGCATTGTGATTGGTTAAAACCGTACAGTCATAAAACTATACAGACATTCTCGCCGCCATAGCTGTATAGTTTCCTGCATTGTGATTGGTTAAAACCGTACAGCCATAGTGCTGAGTGGATGTATGGTTGTTCGCAATTATGGCATTTCGGCCCGCAAACGTAACAACCTTACATGCGTTTTTATAGATGTATGGTTGCATAGTCGTATAGTTGTATAGTTGTATAGTTGTACAGTTTCCTGCGTTCTGATTGGTTAAAACCTTACATCCATTCGATGGATGTATAGTTGTATAGTTGTCATCTTTATGGCACGTTCCGCCCGTCATAGCCAAAGAGAAATCTTCCAACTTTTCTTTCATATCTTTCTTTCTCTCCTCTCTTCAATAATGTTTCACTCTTTCTTTCTTTCATTCTATCTTTCTCAATTTGTTTGTTTGTTTCTTCCTTTCTTGTTCTTCTTTCATTTTCTGCAATGCCATATATGTGAGAAAAAACAAATTGCAAGCATTTACAAAGTCACTACAAGACGGCTTTATACTTCAAAATGTCTTCAACTCCCTCTTATACTAGGCGTATGATTCCCTCCTCTTATCCCACCTCCATTCCCTTTTCAAAACATATATTTATATCGCGTTTTTTTAAATTATTTCAAAACATAAATTTATATTGCATTTTTTATTATTGGAAGGTAATATTAAGAACCAGGAACTATCCTCTACTAAAAACGTTAGGGGGGGGGCAGAAAAAAACTCGGAATCACCACCACTCTTACATGTTACGCCGGCCCTGCAAACGTTTTTTCAAAGTGGGGAGGGGGGCTAAAGTATTTACGATCAGGTAGAGCAAAGCGAGCGAAGCAAGTGGAGCGTAAATTGGCGTGGGGTCCAGGGGCACAGCCCCGGCGGGGGTCAGGGTCTTTAGGCATTTAATTAAGGTCAGATGAACATCCATGGGGCGGAGCCCCCGGAAGTTCAGGATGAAAACGATTGAGCAAAAACCGATTAAAAATAAGAAAGTATTGAGTTTTGAAGATTCAATCAATCAAACACGGTGCAAATTGGCAATTCTGTAACATATGTTGTGAGGCCATCACCCATTTTCCCTCTACTAAAAAATATAAAAGCTTATAAATTTCATCAACATTTTTTCAATCATACATTCACCCTGAACATAATCGTTGCAAATATGTTTTATACATCCAGAAATGTATGAAACCAATCTATTCTGTCATCAATAACTGATAAAATGAAAGTTCATGAAATTGACTGTAAAGACCAAATTGGAGAGGGGTTCGCAAGATACGTCACAGTGTTGCCAACTTTAGGAAAGTAGATGTAAGTCAGTGTGAGTAATGAGTCAGTGTAATAAGTCAGTATGAGTAATGAGGATTAGTGCCTTACAAAAGGACACCTAGCGCCCTTTAGTGTTACGAACAGGGGGGTTCAACTCCGCTTCTGCATCCGTCTAGCCATGGGGAAATTTTGGAGGGTCAAAAGTGCACACTGCTTCCACTTATCGTGTATTAGCCTATGAAGACGACAAATTTTTAGTGCACCAGCAAAATGGGGATTTTGGACTGCGCGTAGCGCGTAAAATATGTAAATTAAAATTTGGAATATTCATGAGCTCTTTTCCACTTATTAGCATATTAACGCAATGAAAAAAAGACAATGCGCATGCGTTACTATATCGACATAATCCTTAATTGGGCCGGATAAATGTAGAACAAAGGTCATGCAGAGTTGGGGAGGTGTGTGTGTTGGGGGGGGGGGGGGGGGTAATAAACTTTCAAATGGTTGACTTAGTTGGGGCCACAAACTTCACTGTCACCAGGATGGAAAGTACATTTTTTTAAATTCAGTTCAGTTAAAAGGCAAAAATAATGACCCCATTTCACCGTGGTACCTCAATTCATTGTTTACCTTTTTTGTTTTGTTCGTTTATTAACTTAAATATTTTTTTAATCAGAAAAATTGCACTGATCCTTTCGCCCACTCAACAAGTGATATATTCATATTTTTAGTGTCCAAATAATGAATCATTCTCACCTCGACTTCAATGATCTTCATATTGTGCCCCATCCCAAATGAAATTTCTATTTTGTCTCGTTCTTTTCATTCTTGCATTCGTCGCCACTGATATTTTCTAAATTTGCCCCCCCCCCCCCCCCCCATCAGTAACATTTTCAATACAGGGACCCCTTCCAATATTGACATTTCCATAGGCTCTATTACCCTCCCTCCCCCATCCACACCCCAATTACCTATGCTTTCATCATTTTGGTATTGACTTATTCTTTATTTAACCCCCCCCCCCTCATCTTTATTGTAAACCATTTTTTATACTATATTTATACATAAGTCTTGCCCACTCTCTTGTTACATTTCCGCTTTCTCTCTCATTAGGAAAGATGGTTAAATCTATCTCGCTGATGCCAGATATAAATAAACATCAAAAGGTCGAACACCATACTCAATTCTACACAAGACTGCATCAGCCCCCATCTCACCTCAGTCATAGAGCATTATCATTACAGAGTGCCTACATCATCATAATCACCAGCATCATCACATATATTTCACAAAATAAGAAAATGAAAAGAACAGAATTAAGCAGTATTAACTAATTTATTAATATTTATGAACTCATGTATCAACATATTTTGTTTCTATAAAGATATTTTTAAATCCAACATGACATCAACAAAAGGATGACAAAAGGATGGGGGAGGGGGGGGGGTGCTGTCTCTTGAATTCAAATTTTTCAGTTGTAAAAGTTTACTGTAGATTTTGAGAAGAAAAAAATTCAATAATATCAACATGCTACTTTATTATGTAAAGCACAGGTATATACTGAGTTTTATGAGTACTTTATCTTACATTGGACATTGTTGTTTTTACTACTACCTGTATTATCATTATTATTACTGCTATTATCATGACCATTGTCATTATTGTTACTCTTTGTAATATTGTTATTATTATTAATGTTATTAATTATATTACTACAGTATTACTATTGAACTACATCATTTTATTCCCCCCCCCCCCTTCAATTTACTATCCAGTTCAGCATCCCTAATATATTTGTCAGAACTTGACTTAACTTTAAATATAAAAAAAATATGTTACATGTACACGATTTAAAAGAACAAATGATTACTTTCATGATCCTCGATATATCTTCTTCTTCTTCTTCTGGTAATCTTCAAAAGGCGTTGTAGCCTATCACGAAGATGAATTAATATTAAATATTCCAAGTGGTGTGAGGAAGATAGATTGT